GGTACCCACTTTGTTTAAAAATATTTAGTCTTTGCCCTTCAACTTATATATTTTACATGACAGGCTGATCTAGCCTTTTCTTATCTCTCACTGAGATAAGAAGCTTCTTTGCAGTGGAGATTGCTGATGGGATGGGGGTGGGGCCACTTCTGAACTGGAAGGGGAATAAGTGACAATGGTACTGTTGACTGAAGAAGAACTGGGTGGGCAGGGGTGTGTTTGGATCAGTAAGTGTATGTTTCATTAGTGCTCCAGGATAGATGTTGGTTAATAGAAATAGTGTCTTTATTGTTTTTAGGTTGTGCAGGGTAAATGTTCCATGAATGGCTTCCCCAGCCCAAGACCTGTGAAGCTCTCTCTGCCAGCACTTTACTGGGGGAATGGGGATAAATTAGGTTTAAGTCAGGAGTGTGTATGGGAGAAAAGACACTCCCATGGGGAGAGCTGGAATAAAGGAGGGAGGATGTAGCAGGTTGTATGCTTCGGAGACTACAGCCCAGCTGGAAGCAGGCAGGGGATTATTACAAGCCTGCCTCAATGGGTTGGGCCAGCCGATGATGATAATTTGTTGTCCCTGTGGGAGTTAAAAAGCTCCCAGGAAAAGACAGGAGGACTGTGGGGTTGAAGGTGGAAGCGCAAGCACAAGTTTGAGTGTTCTCATTGCACCAGAGAGTGCATGTAAGTGAGGGAGAGAAGAGGTGATTAGGTTCCTGGGTGAACCTTGAGCACTGTGCCAGAGGTTCCTCTCTCTTAGGGTCTAGGAAAACAGACACCATGAGTTTGCCGGAGGGAACCAGAAAGAGAGAGGGAAGAGTGCAGACTAACGGCTGCAACACTTTACCTGGTGCTTTCTTCAGGTCTGGGAAAAGACCTTATACTATTTGTGTGTTTGTTTTGTTGACTGTTTACATTGATTTCTGTGGGGTGGGAGTGTGCCCCAGGGAAATAAAAACTGTAAACGAAGACTATTTGAGCTGAGCAATCCCAAACCTGCTACAGAGGGATAAATAGAGGATTTGCTCATTGTACCCTTTGAAGTAAAATGCTCTAGTTCTTCATGGTGATGGAGGAAGATGGAACAGGTAGTTTTCTCACCACAAAGACTTTCCCGCTCATGCTTCACTGATTCATACTTGACCCCTCCCATAATCACCAGCTAGCATTACCTTTTAAAAATGTTTCCAGGAGAAAGAAGGTTTTGGGGAAGGCACCTCTGCATATTTTGGACATCTGCCACCTCATGGGTTTCAGGTGCCAAGAAAGAAATATTTTCCTCAAAGCTATTTGTGCCTGAACTATCTGCTATCAAATGACAAAATTGACAGAGATCTTGAGATCACAAATGCTGTACCAATGCTAAGTGTAGCTGTTCAGAGGTGGACAAGAAGTTTTTTATAGAGACCCCTAAACATGGTTTGGTTCAACAATTTGCCATCCCCTTGCTTGCATCCATGCTAATCAAATGGAACATTACTGGGTATTGCAGTTATGCAATATTATACTGTATTGCATTGTTTCAGTTGAGTCATGAGCAGGGCTAATCACAAAGGCACAGTAGTGTTGCATTAGGCAGCTGATGACTTTTTGCATGTGCACATCTTGGGGGGAGAGGGGTTGTTTTTTGGTTTTGGGGGTTTTTCAAGAGGCGTTATGAAACAGGGAAATGTTAAAATCTTGGTGATTGTTGGAACCTTTAGATCTAGCACATAGACCTCTGCTTCTGAGTGAGAAAGTAGGTGATAGCAGTAGTAGGTTGTTGTTCTTCATATTGTTCAACACTAGAGGGAGATGGGACACTTGCTATACAGAAAGGTGTACAGGAAAGGAAAGGTAGGACTTGGGTCTTGGGTCCCAGGCTCTGTAGGAGAATGTGTTTTAGTGATCACTTGTTGGACCACACATCTGACCATTCCTCCCAAGCTTCTCCTCTCCAACATCACTTCCCTGCTGGTGGTTCCTTATCCTACTAATACTCCCTCTATCTTTCTCCTTCCTTCATTTCTCTCTTTCCTCCCTTCAACCCCACTGGCTCCCAGTCCTATTATTCTTTCCAGGTCTTCTCAGCTGATCTCAGAGACCCTGCCAGGTGTGCCTCTAATCCTCTTTCCTCATAGATAACTAGTTCCTGTTTCCTGGCCCTGATAAATATAATCTCATGCCAGCCCCTCATTTCATTTGGTCCCTCAGGACAGGTATCTAGTAGGCCTGTACAAAGCTTTGGTCACTGATTTGATTTGGCAGAGATTTGGCCTGATTAGGCAGCTGAATCTCTGAATCTAAATCGAATCAGGAGACCCTTTAATCTCTCTGAATTGAATCAGAACCCTCCAAATCGATTTGGAGAAATTCAAAAAGATTTGGTGATTTGGATATAGACGCAGCTTTATATGTTTTTTCTACATACCTTAAGGTACCAGGTGGCTCATGAATGCTGCAGTGGTGGGGCTGATGGAGCATCCCACAGGAGCATGGGGTGCTTCCCAGCCACTCAGCACCAGACCTGGAAGTGGAGCAGAAGCACTTCCAGTCCACTTCTGGGTCTGCTGGGGAGCGTACTGGGCCCCCCCACACCCCAGCTCAGCGATTGTTGCCTCTTGGATCTGAGGGGGCACCTGGGGTTCCCCTGAAGCTGATTGCTGAGCTGGGG